CTTTGTTTACTTTTACATATATGTGAATATAAAAGTAATGTTCAGTTGCAAGCCCCGATGCTCGCTAGTTGTGAAATACTTAACTATTGTTAAATTTTATTCTAAAATTCGAGGTATTCTCAATTATGCAAATGCACCTAAATAGAGACATCACAATAGTAATTGTACGCGAAAAACTACCAAAATCCACGTACAAATTAAACTGAAAACGCTTATCTAACAAATGGCCAAATATCTCAATTAATGAATAGCAATGCTCGTAGAAATAAAGATGCAGTACAAAAACACAGACAGCAATTAAAATTTAACAGTCTGAATCAGTGATAGGCACAAAGTCGTAACATTATGTGCTAATTACTGGGTTTTTATGAATAGCTCCCAAGATGGACATAAAAAGGCACCGACTACTAAATATAGTAAATATTCATTAACGCGTTGAGTTTGCACGATGGCAACCGGCTTATACCGGCGGCTACGAAAAGAATTAAAAAACAGTCCGTAGCTGCATATCAAGCTATGCAATACCAGTATAAACTGATCCTCAAATGTGCGGAAAGATCATACAAAGCGGACTATAATAAACTGGTTCTATAGTATATGTTCATGTGCAGGCGTGTGTACGAATATTGCGGGCATTTGCTTGCCGCGGGTGGTATGTGGTAATTACAGTGCTAAAGAAACTAGATACTTTAAACCGATATAAAAGCACCGCTTGCTATGGTAGCGATCGCATTTACTGAATGGGATGGAAATTATAATGATTTCTAATTGAAACAACTGTTTAATGATAATACTACCGCCATTTGGTTATTAAAAAATCGTTTAAAGTATTTAAATAAGAATAAAATGAGGAATACTATAAACATTTGCACTTACTAGGTAAAGATGTAGGTGGGCCGTATTAATATTTTTTACGATCTGCCGTTTGTTTGCATCGCCATAACAATGGCGGTAACCTATCATATGCTAAAGAGTTAAATATTTGAAAGTTCATTTCGATGGAACCAGTTTTTGAGACATTTGTTGTTGAAGAGGTAAAAGTAGGCATAAAATATACCGTAACGTTTTAAAAAACAAAAGCAGGATATTTAACTTAAATATATTCTACCTGCAGTACATTGGTTAAACTTCAAACAGAGGCATTTTGGACTGGACACCGCAACAGCGATCCATTGTTAATTGGGCCACTGGCCAACAATTAATTAAACGTTAATTATTAATTTATACGCGTGTCCATTCGTCACTGCTATTTATGGCCGGGTCTTCATTGAAACAGTCACTCAATCTATTAGATTACCATTTAAAATGGATGACTAACGTATTGTATATTGTATCGCTAATCGATATTATTATACAATAACTGTAACACAAGATCTTTGTTCCTCATGAATCATGCGTAATTGTGTAGTGGATGAAAATGTTATATTTTGTAACACTTAGTTATAATGATCGAAAATTACTTCTATTATGATCTGTTTCATTGTTCGTTTCAGTCTCAGAGCTACAATGGAATACAGTTATTATAATAATCATGTATTTAAATCGTAATAGTAAGCTGAGCTTTGTTCATAATTGCTATTATAGTAATCTTGAGTTTCTTGTTGTGCGATTTACGACGACATTCGGTTTAAATGTCGATACTAATTTGTGGCAAGATATCTATCTATATCTAGAGTAAATGCCGTAAAATTTAAAAGTACTTATTGGTACTTTATGTCACGAACGAGGAGTCACGCTAAGCGATTGATTTCGAGTTATTTCTGTGCTGTGGTATGACTGGAGGTACCCAAGTTATATTCGTTCATACAGGCACGTAATATCGTGCCTGCTGTACTTGCTGAATATTAAACGCAATAAGATATGTGAGATATATAGACATGTAAGTACCTAATATATAAATTGACACGGGAGGTACAAAAAACGGAACATCCGGTATCAAAGACCGTCATTGAATTTGAATGTGTTGTATGAATGACATCTGTTCTTGTGACTAGAGAATTGTTACTGAATGCTTATCGCGTATTCACTTAAATGGTGGTTATATTGGTATCGAATACACTCATGGAATTTATTAAATGTCTCTGTGCAGAAGGAGATGGTTTCCAACAGTATGATATGGTATAAATCTTTTTGTTCGTTACGCGAAGTCTAATAACATACATGTAAGAGCTTGGCATGTAACGCAGTACTTAGTACCATATTTCATATAAATGATAATAAATTAGTAATGCCGACACGGCCATGTTTTACCCAAACACGATAAACAACAAGAGCCGCACTCGTAAATCATATCATATCAGAACATCACAAAAAGCAATCCGGGCCGCAGACTCGACTCACATTTTTTGCCCTACCCTGTATAACTAGATTGTGCAAGATAAATAATAAATGGCATTTTTATAGGTGCTTCTAACATGACAATAAATATTTGAGGTCCAGACGTAAGACCGTCATATAAATGGCCTATCATAAATTGGCCTGTAGCCGTAATTTGAGCCGTATAACATTATACGCTCACCTATTTGGTGGCAAATCTTATAAATTGCACGCGTGTTGGAGTCATCAAACGCATCTAAGTTATTATAGATTTATTGCATCGATAAAGTTAATACAAGATTGCCAGCCATTACAATCTATTGTACCGAACTTGACATGTGGAGAAGAAAATAGCTTCTAGACATCACTTAGCTCAGTACCTAATAATAAAATATACTTAATCCATTAGTTGACGCTATATCATCAATACAATTAAATATATCAAGTTAATTGAAAGAATATATGACAATTCTAGTTTCAAAGACGACAATAGAAAGGAATGGCTGACGTCATAGTCCTTGTTACACTGAATGGACTCGAGATAGCCATTTGTGGGAAATGAGCCAATTACAGGCCGCGCCGCTCTGAAAGATTACTTAATAGAAAATACGAAAGTTTTTCCTCGAGAATACTTGCGATTGCTTATTGAAATGAATTACATTTAAGAAGTTTGTCGCAGGTGGTTAAATGGGGAGAAGATGGTGAAGATTCTGAGATACAATCTTAGATGTTTATTTTGTAATTTGGTTTTGAAAATGTAGGACTTCGACCTTTGGGTTTCACAGTAGCTAGGAGATGTGCAAGATGTTTAAAATTATAAAATAAGTAGCTTCTTCAACAACATAGAACACAATGAAACAAACTGTTTGGTACTTAAGTACCTTTGCATGCGAATTACAATTACCTCTAATTGAATAGGCCTGCAATGCCCACGCCACGCGCATGTGACTTGTCTATGTTTATATCTAATAGAGTAGGAACAAAGAGTATTTACCTTTTCACTACTTTGTTTATAATGTCATTGGCCGGTAAACATAGACGGATAGACACACGTGACGTTTGCTATTCAGCGCAGATTAGCGCTTTAAGTCGGTAAATAGAAGCTCAATAGCGTCTAATTGACGATTGCTATGTAGTTGATTATATAGTAATTTATTGGCTTTTGTGCAATTTATTAATAGGAATTAATAAAGAAATGTTATTTAAACTGTAATTCCTTTGATTTTATATATTTTCATACATCAACCTAATGTTAGAGATATTTCTGTCGTCGCAAAGCACATAAAAATTAAGAAACCAATTAACTAAATTGATTTAGAGCCTCAGTTTATATCGATTGCGCCTAAACTTATTAATCGTTAATTTGTTATTTAAACATAAACGTTTAGTAGGAAATTTTAATAGTTGAGTAGATATAAACCGTCTACTTTTATATTTTAACTTTTATTGTACCTGCACAAAACGCGACAAGAAATATTTCAGCTAAAATCCTACTAAACTAATTACAAAAATACCATTAAACATTTTACGAGCGAACCACATTTCAGTTTACGTACAATCGAATCGCAGCTAAATTTTATATATCAGTAGGTACAATAATTTGTAATTAATCATACTTCTAATAAAAATACGTCAGAACCAGAAGTCGATCCATAAACAAGTCGCAGTATTACAATAAATAAAGTCTGTGGAACTATACATCAATTCTGCGATTGGTCGTATCGAGGCTCTAAGTTTTCGCCCACGTAGGGCACGACCCAAGACACGAGCGGTAATCTGCCACACGCCAAACCCACATTTCTAACTAATAAGTAATAAGTATAATGCGGGAACACTAAGAAGGGTCACTCCTAATGACGACCGAAAACTGGTAACAACTTTGAAACTGTAATGTAACGAAACTAGGGACCATGAAATTACTGAAATATATATGAAGTGAACTTGGAACGAGATATTCCAATGTTTGGTTGAATATATTATTGTAATTGTAACTTATCCACACAAACTATTCCTAATGTTTATGGAGACTATTAATTTATAAGTGGTTCTTCTGATATTTGTATACTTTATAAGTATTTTATGTATAAGGTTGTGTGCCATACTGCCTCGTGTGCGTAGGCGCCGGGGAAATGCGTTGTGAAATTAATATTAATAGCTTTACACGTTACATGTTATCTCGAACGTTGTAAATTTTCGTGTTCCTATCGAGTTTCGTGATATGTAGCGGTTTATTAAATAGTTATTTATATTATTATCAAGATTTTGTTATTTAACAAATTGAGAAATGCTCTGGTTATTTATTGGTTCGTAGTCGTAATAAAAGTTTCATGTTGAATGTTTACAAAAAAACTTTGAAGTATTATAATCCTAGAGATTAACTCAGTTCTTATAGGACTCATACAAAATCGTTCTAATATTGAACACTATTATTTTGTGTACCTAGCCCAGCTCAATCTTTTAATAAATCTGTTCAACCAAACTTAAATTATTGAAACACCTAATTAAAAGTAAGTACTTATTTAAATCTCTTCTAAACTTAAGAGATTCCTTAAAGAGAGCAACTTTAAAGAGTTAGTAGCAAACATTTTATCGCTGTCGATTGTACATTGCGCCTGCGATTCGCGAGTGGCGAGGTGAAAGCACGCACCGCGCGTGGGCGGGCGCCGGCGTCTCATGATGGAATATGAGACGCAGTTCAATAGTACACACAGAGTTCATACGAGACACGGAATACGAATCAAAAAGTCGATGACATGCCTTATATGTTTTATGTAAACGTGTATTCAATAAAGTCGTGAACAGTTTTTCACAGATAAATGTTTATTAATATGAACCCTTCATAATACATAATATGAAAAATTACTGAAATGTGGCATTGGTATTTCGGGAAAATTATTGTAACAGGAATTCGAGATGGAATTGGAAGGTAGTTAATGAGTAAATTGTTTTAAAAATATATAAAATATATAAATAAAATACTACTTTTGATAAACTATGACAAATAAATTACTATTCGTGGAAGGGTTGAAAATAGTTGTTAAAACAAAATTATTGTACAGACATAGTTTTCAAAACTTTCTAGTACTGTATTTAATTGTAGATGTTTCCCCGTTATTATTTGCTCGTCAGTGGGTAGAGGAGTAGCTGTATGATTAGCGTACAACAAGTAAATTGCAGTCGTAGGAAGAGAACCCAAGAGGCGATGATTACTGGTCTTGACACAGATACGTGACGTCTGCGTCGTGTGTGACCCCACTACAGAGTATACATACTATTTTATAGATGCCACAGATGATACTAGCTTCAAATCATCTTTCCGTGAAATCACTATTTGCTAATATGAGTAGTTTGATGACATTATTATTTTGTTCTAGGCTTATAATGATCACGATCACCACGAAATCCGAAAATGAGTATACTTGATTACATTGAGATTTTATATCATTTAACTAAAGACTCGTCATTATTGATTAAAATAACAATTTCCAAAAGACTATCAACTTAACCAATGATAGTTTTGCTTTCAGAAAAATAACCTGATATTTACTTTATTTACTCTTTGTACAAATCTCTTGTAGCACAGACACACAATATTCATTTTCTTTACCATTCTCTCGTTTTATTATTCAGCAATTTGTTTTGTGAATACTAACTCATTCTGCTTGATTAAAAGGCGAGTCGACTGTGTAGTTATATAGGTAGGTAGATACTAGATTGAATGTCAACAACCTCTAGGCTACAATGTCAGACTTCGCTTTAGTGAAAACTTTTTATACAACACCAAAGCCTCTGTAATAAAGTTGAAGTGCGTTATATTTGGGCCGTTAATTTTTTCTTGTGTCTACTATCAAACAGGATTTCAAAATGTTAGTAGTTAGCACTAGTTTGTTTCGAACTTTCGAAACACAATGAACCAGGCTTTGTTGAAAAAAACTATTTATAGGTACTTTTCGCAACCATGAGTCTGTTATCCCCTTACTCATAGCGTTAAATAAATCATAGTACTATAGCTATTACTATATAAACATTTTATTTCTGAAGCAAAAACTATACAATTTCCTCGTTTCTTCGCTTCCGAGATATCGCATGTCTATCTGTTCTTTATCTTTTAATACACTCCGTTTGTTTTCGCGAATTAATTTACTCGCTTATTAGTCCATGCTAATGCGAACAATGAACACATACCCACGAGTTAGAATTACGATCACATATAAAGTTAATTGTATAGATCAACTGTCTCAGCAAATACCCGTGGCGGTACAGACGTAAGCTGTCACAAGTTTATTGAATCAAGCGTTTGTACACGAGGAAAATGATTGAGAACGAAACAAGATTACCTATATTGCCAATATTGCCACGACTGATTACGGCAGAGGACACAAAATGAAATATTTCCACTCAGAAGATATTCAAAGGGAAAAACGTAGCATTTTCTTTCCCTTTTTGCATTACGCTTAAAATAAATTGGTGGCCGGAATGAGTTATTCAATCTCTCGAAGCGGTTTTGTATACAGATGAACCTATTAAGCCGGAAGACGGAAACACTGTCCTTGATCCGAGGTGCGCTGTCTCATAAATACGAGATTCAGAGGTGTTATGTCATGTGTGAGTCAACGGGATGTATCCTACGTGGAACGGCGGTTCCTGCATCCATTGTTGCTGGCTGTTATGATATAAATAAACAGTAAATACTTGACAATGCTCAAATACTATTATTACAGTTGAAAATCCTTTTTACGCATGCCATTAAAAGCGACGTAAAGTAAATGAAAGTGCGATGTAAAAGCGTCGCGCGTCGTTCCACAATAACCGTAAGTTATATTTCTGCAATATTAATATTCATGAAGCGAAACGCATGTTATGTGATATTTCAACGCGCTCAGGATGCATACTGCTAAATAAAGGGAGTCTTTATGAGCCTCGTTATTTCTAATAAACGACCATGAACCATTCTAGACTGCTCTAAAAGCTGCGAACTGTGAGCGATATTAGACGAATGTATGTCTAATTGGTAGCACGTTTTTTTTTTGTCAGAGTAAACTACATACTTTAATTTGGTAATTGATTTTTGTAAGTAGTCAAGTCAACATAAACCAATAAATGAAATTGATTTAATTAACATTTTATATTTTATGTATTACTGCAAAGATATTTCACTTTAGAATGAAGGCTTAATCAATTGTGGGTTTTATTTTGACGAGCGCCAATCGCTGGGAGGCAAGTCACTTTAGCATTAGATGCGAAGATAAAATGTTCACTTAGTGTAAAAGCAATTTCTCTTTGTAGTGGGTGCAGACGGGCTCGACCTGCGCCCACCACTGACCCGAGCGGCCTACGTCGCCCGCTTTTAACTGTATATGGTCACGTAATACCTTGTAAACATGTTTATATGGACGCTCCACCGATAGAGTTCGTGGCACTAAACAACTGAATACTCCTACGAATCGAGTTTTAGCATATAAATAGATGAATGTTGAATGCAAATCGTCGACAGCACTTTCAGTTGGAACCAGCAGTAACTAAGGAATAATTGAAATGTCCCGTAGAGGTATTCGGGCCACGTGTGGCGAGCTGCCAAACTGTAGGGCGTCCGGTAACTGTATTTTATTCAAGTCTCCGTGGTCAATTGGAATATATTTTTCATTTGATTGGGACATCAACTTCTAAAATATTTTTCTAGTTTATGCTGAAGTATAGTACCTATACCAATTTAATTCCTAGCCTTCTATGAACAACCAGTGCTCCGGTAAATCAAACGAAATGATGACCAGACGTGAATTAAGTGTCATATTTTATCATATACAAAATTATCATATCGAATCGAAGTCGAAAGTTGTCCAATTAGAAAGAGGGCGTTGATCAGTTTGACCTGTTCATCAAGGTATGATTATCTTTGTAAATTGCTTCTGTATGTAAATATTTCTTTAGCCTTAATGTGTTGAATTAACATGGCTTACGGTGATTTGGGTTTTTAGGCTGGGCCATTTATACAAAAGATTAACAAGATTAAGATGTAAGCTTTGTAAAATGAAATGTTACCTTATTTTCTGAGACAGCCCTGTTTTCGAGCGCGTACATGATGGCTTTGGAGACCTTCGTCTCTAGTTCCCTGAGGGCGACGTCTGCGTCCACCTTGGTGAGTCTCTCCACGCCTTCCACGTAGCCTGCCCAGGGACCGTCCAGCTCCGACAGTAGAGAACCGATGCACCTGTTGAAAAATTCATTTATCAAATAATTTACCAGTTTCCTTTGGAATTACGATATATCTCGCCTGACACTGACCGCCGCACTAAAGAGACAAGGAAATAAAAAGCAGTACGCGTCTGCGACTGCAGTAAAACATGAAAAAACTTTTATGTTTTTAGTTCCAAGAAAAGGAGTTCAGTGAGAAGTTTTACAATTGTCTGCTAGAGTAAAATGTTGACCATGTTTCACTTTGTTGCTGCATTCAGTAAGGAAGTTGAAATGCTTTCCGTGCCATCCCTAGTTCCCTTTTGATCAAGTTTGTTATAGATTGCACAGGATCCTCTTTAAACAAACGTGCGAGTTACATTCGTATGCGCTTTGATCATTTTATCGTTGCATCAAAATTAATAGAATTGCGTTAGCCGCTGTGTTTCGCATTCACCTACATATTATTTAGATATAACGTTTTATCTTTCCGTTTACTTAATTAGTCGAAAAAGAATCATAAAAGTAATAAAATGAAGTTGCCGCGGGCTATAGGCGATAGCCATCACTACATGAATATTTTAATATGATTAATTAGTTAGAGAGGCAGATGAACCGTAGACCTAGTATGAATAATAGCATTGGGTAAGCGACTCGACTGTATCGCAAACTATCCTTTGTCAAACTAAAGGAGAATCGATACAAGCAACGTCTAAGATTGATTTTACTCAATTCCTAGCCAGTGTTAGCTCGACACAGTCCAATTTAACTAAAATCCTGGCTCTAGGGTCTCAAACAATTTCACACAGCAAAGACAACGTACACAAAGGAGCGAATAATACTGTTATACTTTAGAGGTTACCTTTATCGTGTTCAACGAGGATATTTTCAAGGGTGTACCGAATAGTTCCCATGGGAGACAAGTACAAATTGTGTTAGATATTTTATTTATATTTGTTAGTGACAAACATCCTATTTCCTAATATAGAAAGTTTAGCTTTACCCTTAATTTATGTTTGAATCTACATATATTAAGTAAAATAGGTTTCGACACTGGCAGTATAGTCGACAACACTGCTGTATTGGCGACTCCGTTGCCAAAAAGAAAAGAAAAAATAAAAAAAAAGTAAAATAGGCACAATGTGTAAGAATAAAAAAATACTCCTTTATGAGAAGATTTTTCTAAAGCCAGATAAATTTTAACTTATAATAAAGTGTTTATTCTCTTATCTGTTGAAAGTTGCGGGTATAATGTGTTTTATACCGGGAGCCGGTGTTTCAACAGATAAAAGGTTGTAACAAAAACATTTGACACACAGTTTATGAATACTTACATCTAAATATAGGAATAACTTTGAACATTTGACAGTTTTTCCATACTAATAACTGTCAAATGTCAATTTTATTTTACAGTTAAGAATTAACTGGATTGAGATGGCAAAATAAAATTGTTTTACTATTCACATCTAGAATTTAAATCTAAATTTCCAATAGCAAAATTAATTAAGCTTAGCTTTGGACAAACAAAATTACAGTCCACACTACGCCTGAGCCTGAGACGTACAAGCATGGTGCACACAGGCTGCAATTAATTTACGCACGACACGACGCGACGTATACAAGTGTACACTAGCCTAAGGTAGTTTATTACTCGCCTTGATTGCTCGCCTCTCTCGACACAACTGATATACGACATTTTTTATACAAAATTGCCATTTATTCTACTGCAACTCTGCATAGTAAAGATTTTATTTCAAATTGGCTATTTGTTGCACTATGTCTTTAGTTGGAGATAAAATGAATGCGCCTACAAATTATGCTGTATTTAATTCTGTTAGATTATAGAAGCTTGGGTTTTTGTGACTGTTTTTATTTTTCATACTTTATTAAAGGTTGCAAAAAGGTTTTCATAGTAATTTCTGTGTAATAATTGCTGTATTCCAAATTTCAATTATGATGATGATAGGTTTCTAGATACCAATTCAAATTAACTAAAAGGTCTTTCGTGGGAAAAAGCTGACATGAATCGCGAAGACTCTTTACCTACGTAAAGCTTTTAAAGCAGTTGCGTGACAATGCGGTATGTCGATACTCGATTGCATACAACAAAGTGTCAATTTGAGTCAATAGAGCAGAGCACACAAGTACCACTTAAGTAGGTACCTACGTACATTCCACAGTGACATATATTATAGCTCGACTCGACGAAGACCAAGTGATCACTTAATGATACTAATAAACACATCAATCTTCATACAGTTTGGAGATTAAGTCCTTCAATTAGTAAATAACATACCTTTAGAGAAGAATGTGTTACAGTATTGTCCTCTAAACTGTTTTGGAGTAATTTAGTTTATCGTCGAAAAACTTCAGAAGGAAATATATACCTTTTTAACGAGACTAATTTAGCTCCGTATTCAAGGTTCAAGTACTTGAGAAAAAAGCTTTTAACGTACCAATATATAGGATTAACTCGGGAAATATTCCCAAAAATTGCTCTTTTGTTTTAAAAGGTTCGCAGTATTTGCAAAGTGATCGCGGATTGTGGCATACTTTCGAATGGGACCCACCCTCACTTGATTGTTGAGTTCTCTCACGAGTTTCGGGACTCGTTAAAGTTAAAATCTCTTTGTTTGACAGAAGTTAACGAATTTAATTAGTGACGTGCTGCTGTAGCTTACCTTTTATTTGGATTTCAATAGACAGTTGATAAAGTTGTCGCTCGAAATGATACAAAGTTGTGATTGAAAAACTAATTTAGAAATGAGTAAAAGTAAAAATAAATGCCTGCTAACACTTTTTTAAATAACTAATGATTAGTTTTTCTAGAGCATGTAATGGTTTCATTGTAAAACAACACAGTCGTATTTTTAATAATAGGTAAATGTCGTCTTGGTCACTGACGATTCATACAAAACCTACCCCTTCTATTCGATATAGTTATTTCTAGGCGGGGAATTCTTGGCAACTCTAAGCTTCCGTTTGTAATAGCAATTCCTATTGCGAGCGACACCATTCGCGCATTCTTCCTCCAATGCCAGCGACTAGCCCTAGCATTCTACCGTTTAAACTTTAACGTAATATTATCATGGACTAGCATTTTGTGTTAATGTTGGTTTACAGGATTTGAAATTTTCTCCTAGGAACTCCGTGTTGCATTCTCTTAGGAGAGACTTGCCCTCGAGTGTGATATTTGTTAATTTTACTAGGATATAGGTACTTGCAACAGACTTAATTCTTCTATTTTTCTAAAATTCTGCTTAGATTTGCTGGATTGATTTTGTCACAACACAAAGAGACATGTTGCATTATCGTTGGAATCAAATTTTGCGAGGACCCGACATTGAAGTGAAGCGAGACGAAACGAGACGAGCAAGGGCGAACTAATGTAATAGACTGGACATGGCTAGACGGAACGGAATGGAATGGGGAGTGGAACTTTCGACAAACGAAGGTAATTGGGAATTTGAAATGTGAAGTCCACCCTGCCGCCGAGTCCGTTTAGAATTTGTCAACATTTACTACAGAACATGTACATATCTTAATATAAATTATGAAGATGAATATTAAACACTTAGTTTCCAAACTTAACAAACATAAGTTTAAAATGAGCTTGAAGCAGGTGCACACTCACCCTCTGGCCACATTGAGGCAGTAGTTTCTGCAAGGCCTGGCTTCATGACCGTGACAGCGCGAGCAGCCGCCGGTCCGCAACAGTCTTTCAGCGCAGTTATCAGCACCGCTGGCCAGCACGCGCTCAGTAGCCGACAGCGTATCAGCTCCCACTGCTAACATTTGCAGCAGCGCTCGAGCCGCCTCCAGCGACCGAGATAACGACGTACCAAGCTATGGACAAACCAAATAACTGATTAATTACCAATCTTACTTTTATTACCCATGGGCATTAAGAGAGGCTTATCAACTGACAGCTTTTTGAAGAACTAATGAATAAATTATAATAAATCAAATAATTCAATCAAAATCGTGTAGCTTCCTACAAAAGTGATGGAAAAGCTTTAAATATCAAACAACTTTTACCGACAAACTTGTTAAAATAAGTAGGAAATGATTTATTATGGCGTCGGCGAGCGACAGCTACATTGAAATAAATCCAATTTAATGCTTTACGAGCTGACCACCAGCGCTGCGCTGCATGAAGCGCTAAGCAGCCGCCATTTTTATACATGTCATTTAAAAAATCGCGAAAATGTCTGAACGGTGAATAAGATTTACTGACATAAGTGAAGCTCACGTTTATCGCAGGTTCACACTCCCGGTTTTATATTGGTTTACATTTATTTTCTGCCGCAGAACCACTACCGTTAAATATTTAATTAGTTCACTAAAACTCTGGGGTTTTCGACGCCCGGTACGACGTAGCGCAGTGATTGAGGGTTATTTGTAAATAAAGGTGTATTTGCCGTAATTCAGAAGACAATGCAAGGCTTTTCTTATTTGTTTAAACTTGAACATCACGCGCCTACGTCATTAGGTAAAATTGTGAACAATTTTGTAATTTTCAAATGATTATATTGTTTTATGTAAATGCGTGTATCTAACTGCAACATTTCGTGACTGCACAACAGTGCCGTTCTGCAATAGTATTCATTATGCAGTGCACACTGAAGCTTTGTGCCACAATCTGCATACAACCTCAAAGGATGCTTCATTGCGACATCGAGACCTACTGACTAGCCTATACAGCCACTTATAGTTCAAATATTAACAATCACTAACAGAATGACATTTGACTATAGCTTGAGTTCTCTGTTGATCTACACAATATATCTAAGTATTAAAATTTTATATATTTAAATACTTTTGCTATAGCATGGATAATGGATTGTAGACAAAATTGCACATATTTATGAAATCATATATATTTAAAAAAATCATTCGGTATCCGGTAATAGGAACTCACTTAAATGAAAAATTACGTGACTGTAACGGCTTAAACGCGAGTTATCATCCGCAGTGTGAGCTTGACACTGTATGGCGTATTTTAATTGAGATAATCTCCAGGTAAACCCAATTAAGCCGCGTGCCAGCAGTCAACTTAAATATATAATGCACCATTACTTTTAATGGTCGAAACCTACGTCGCGTGCCTCTTAAAACTGCTAAGAAATGTTTAATTTACCCGACACTTTTGGCACTTTTATGCTCCGCTTGTACACCCAGGCTTGTACATAAACTAGCTTCTCATTTTTAATTGCGTAAAAGAGTCAGGTACGATTTAAAAAACATTAATTGCTGTATCTAATCGTTAGAAGAGACACTATAATTACCTAAAGAAATAATAAGCAAACATAATTACCTGCTGCGGCACGTCTCCGAATGGCTGGACTGTATCATATGCGTCCTTGAGGCATATTTCGTAATCAGGCGTGAACTGCTTGACGTCCAGCTTGAGCACATTGTGATAAGCCACAGGGAACAGGTCTCTAAAGAACTTCTTCGTAGTAACGGTCAAGTCCTTCGGTGGTCCAGCGCTGAGACCTTCAGTTGAGAGATCCCCTTCGGATCGCAAAATTAATCTGATGTCGTCATAAAGATTCGCTAGAGGCTGGACCGTCCGCGTCGCGTGTCCTCGGTACAGCTGCGTGAACAGCGTAGCTGTCTTGTTCTGTGACAGATGCGATAATCCCATGAGGTGATCTACGGAAAATGAAAAACTAATTAACTTACATTGATTAACTCTTATTAATTTAATTACGAAGCTTAATATTTTCACTTGATATTTAAGCTGAATAAATACTTATTAAGATTGAAATATCACACAGTTACAAGATTACTCTACTCCAATTATAAAGTAATTAGGGAATGATCGGCAGCAGCAAGTTCTGTAATCAACTAACTCCATATCACAACAATGTAAGTGAAACCTCCAAGGGAATATTTACATGTGTCTTACCAAAATTTGGATACATGTAGTTACGAAACATTTGTGTACAATAAATTAGACGTAATGTTAACAGAGCCTCTGTAAATACGTTCAGTTGCTCAAACATCCCCTGAGTATTTGGCTTGATAGTTTGTGGCACCTGCTCTGGAATTATAAGAGCATCCAGCGTTATCTCGGAATGCAGGGCCGAGGCGCGGGATCAACGCCTTGACGCATTCCACGGTCCATGCAACACATACACTCATATAACTCAAGTACTCAAAGTCGGCATTATCCTACAAAGTATGATAAGTAAAAGATATGTATTTTTTAATTAAATAACACGCCGAGGTTCTTTATCATAATGCTACTACAAGTAAATCAGCGTGGTTGTGTGTTTAAACTGAGGAAAGCCTATGTTTATATGAAGGATGAAAAGCTCCTTTGATCTACGAAGCTTGACGAAAAGCTTTTTAGTCGGCGCCGTTTGCCGTGTTCTGAAATATACCTGTGAACCGTACGCGTGAAGGATTCATTATGATTCTAGTTATAAATCTCCGAGGATTATGCGAGGAGTTAAATGTCGCATGCTTTAATTTTAGGAGGCTGTTATGTCATATTCTGTGTGTAGGAGTGAGGTGGGGCTTTGTTTTACTATTTGAGTTAAATTACTGTTTTAATGACTTTGAAACTGTGTTTTATTATGAATGTTTTGTAATACATATGAATTCATTTTTATTCAAGGATATTATTCTGTTATTATGTATCTCCAACTTTAATATAAGTAGAGGTTGTATTGTACGGAGGCTAGTTGCTAACTCAGCTTCCCTTTAATATATAAGTGTAATTGGAATTTGCATGATAAGTATACCATTAAAATCTCTAACTCTAAAACTACGTTATCAAAATCTGGTCTCACCAAGAAAAGACTTAAAGATACCATTGACCAAAACAAATGCAATGAATGATATAAAACTAAATATCATAAAGGATAAAGTTGTCTCGCAGGCATGAGTTTGAAGTTCCCTTTTGATCACTTGGCACTGCCATTAGACAGTACATTAAAGTAACCCTCACTATTTCCACCTGCACAATGGAGGGATTGATGAAAGTTCCCGGTACTTCACAGTAAATCCCTACATTCAATGTTTCGTAGTGGAAAATCCGAAACGTTAGCGGAAGGCACAGAGAAGGCAGAAGGTTCTCCCAGCTCTTTATTTGTTCCGTTAAAATCAATATAAAGTCAAAGTCAAAATCATTTATTTATAATTGGACCAAGAAGGTACTCGTGATCGTCAACAAAAAAATTCAAAGTGTCAGTTCGTCAGTAAGTCCTCTAGTGAAGCTATTTGGTCATTCTAAGGTGTAGATTACTAATAATAAAACATATAAACATATAACGTACCGACTTATTCAACATACTAATAGATTAATTTGTAACCCATGTTATAAGAATTAGATAAAGAAATAACATGATGTAACGCAATGACATCCCAAAAATATAGATAAGGTACATTTATTTAAAAAAAGTAGGCGCGAATTGATGTTCTGGATAGCGTTATTTTACAGTGGCGCGACGGTAGCTCAATAAATAATAAGTGTCATTCGTCTTTTCACAGGGAGACCTCCAGACGCCCTTTACAGTGCCCACCAGTCCACCCAACTGGTTACATTTAACGCGGCTACGTTTCACTACTACGTAATTTACAATTTTATATTTCAGAAAGGGATACTACGAGTTACGATATTCATATGTTCCACTAATGAAATATTTTATCGCTACCACTAAAAATATAACACGTCGAAGGCAACACGCATTTTTATTTACTACATCCACATAAAATTAGACTTCTAATTGAAATACTAAAATTAACATAAAACGACAAGCGTTTTGATTAAAACGTAAAAAGCTGGTTGTAAAATAAAATGTAAGAGTAGCAGCCCTAAAAGAGAAATGTTTTATTCATTATACCTCTCGTCGGTACATTTCAAAATCTAATGTAAATAAAGCTGACCTAATCAACGAGCTAAGCGCCTTTTGCAATTAACGCGCTTTCATCAGAATCATGACATTTTTCAACAGCCGCGCTTTAACACTCAATGCCACTCACATTTAAAAGTCATTTAGTTAAGGAATCATAAATTGCATTACAGTGTACCAGCTCAGACTGTGAATAGTCCGTGGAGAGTGGACTAATTACTTAGTTATGCAAATTCTACAGAGGTTGTTTTAACAAATGAACTCCGTCGAGCTTAAGCTGAGTTTTTTTTTTACATTTCAAGAAATTTTATCTCGTGAACAGCAACTGAACTATAGTAATAACGACAGGGCGACGGTAATTTGGACAGGATTGAGACGTGGAAAGTGAATAGAAACGAGTCTAGGAGCTCGCTAAGGAAAATATATAACCTTCTTTTATCACCATTAATTTAGTTAAAACACTAAGCTTGCTGTTGCTGTATGTAGTTTCAGAGTCTTAAAATGTGTTTGTAAAGACTCATCTAAAATATATAAGGAGTTACATTTAATAAAGTTTATCCAAGAAAATCCACTTTGTGTCCTAAGTTACGAGTTTATACGCTTCATATAGCTTGGGAGATAGAATCTTCATACTCCATAAATCTAAGGTGCGCACACTATAGAAAATACGTTTAAGGAAATTTCATAGCGTTGTGCGGATTATATCCTGTCAGTGGTTATGTATGGTGGCAGCCCGGCCCACGTACACTGGCACAAAACTGGATAAATGGGACCAACATTGCATGTGAACCAGCGGTAAAAGGTTCACGCTAAATAAATAGCTATACAGACATTTACATGTGAAAGACTTTCAGTTATGTATACATTATGTTTAAAGTTCGGTTTAGTGCCTTGTATAGTCATGGTACAACACTTAGCATCAAAGTGTATGTGAAACCGCAGCGAAAACCTACAGAACAATATAGCAAACGAAATTCACTTTACAACGGTAAAATATGAGAAACGCGAGGACACAAGAGCTGTTAATGAGAACTATATTAATATTAAATTGTGTGTATTAACGTAAATGTGCGGTACTTTCATAAAGCACAAAGGTAAATTATTTTAGTGCTCTAATGAGGGTCCGTGCGTGTGGTCTCGGGGACCCTTAGGCATTCGCTGAACAATAGTATAAAAGGGAACCCTTCGCGTGAAGCACACTCTGATTATTTCCTCTTAGGAGCAGGGGGTTGGAGCTCATTGTTTTATACTTGTTAGTCGCGAGGTCGTCGCACCCGATAATATATTTTTTATAGATAATAACGCACCACTCGTGTTGATGGGAATCTTTGAAGAGTACTTACAGGAGAATAAGCTTTGAAATTGTTTCAAAAGATCAGAGGAACTATTCAACGATGGCAACAGAGTATACATAATGTTTGATTGCATGCCACTAACGTTGCTGATATTGCTTTTGTTTGAATGTATGTTAGTTGCCCGGGCCATATATTATGCTCGTTTGCGTGTTAAACAGAGATTAATCGAGGGTTAGTCAATGCTTGGCACTAGATGTAGCTACGCTGCGATTCTAATCCACTCGTTACGGCTGTTTAAAACACTCTACGAATGTATCTACTCTCTACATTATTTATTTTTACTGCTATAATTTCTCTTGTTGCAGCATTAATAAATATAGAAAACAAACAGCTGATTAACAACCAACAGGTCACGAGCCGACCAAACCCAGCAAATTTTCTAAGCATTTCACAATCCTTATATGGATAGGCAATTTATTTACGTTGTAGTATATCGTGTGACATTTACTAGAAAACATAGTTTCATTAATTTAGTAAAGGCCAAACGTGTCTGCGATTTATCAGACGAATATAGACATTGATTGCGTGTAATGATGCATGATATGGCAGGATATAAAGACGGAGCCTTTTAAGACTATAATTGCATGTATTGTCTTGCCAATTCGATTCATATTTGGACACTATGTCAATAGAATTTAGTAAGGAAATTAATTGTCTTTGGACGCGCGTTTAGATTTCATCAAAGCTGTGTTTACGCCTTTAGTATTTTTTAGTTTTTATTTTAGAAATATCTTATCAAATTGCTGGAATTGTGACACGTAAAAGCTTGGAATATTAAATAAGCCAGCTTTAAACAGCTCATCATCAGTGTTTGCATTGTCTCTACGCCCGTTAACGATGTTAACACGCGTACTAAGCCCACGTTCGCCCAGCCAGCACGATATGAGGACCTACTAGAAAAACCCTTCAGTTTTGTCCGTGTAACCAGTATACTATACCAAAAGAGTTTTCCTGCACATGATACAATTTCTACGTAGGTAGCAGGTGTTAACAAAACTTTTTCAGTTGTTAAAATTTTGCGCAAATTGTACTATACACTTGTTAATGTGCCTACAAAAACAAAATATATGTGAAAACTAAGTTGTCCAACTGAAATTGCTTTAGTCTGTCGGTTAGAACAAGTAAAGACACAAAAACTCTAAAATAAGCTTTTTCCAACATCTGTGTCCAACGTACGAGAAAATTGTAGCTTTTTCTATGAATATTAATACGTTTTGTGTAGTCACGTCTTCATTGCTAGTTCTTAGTTTATGCGTTATTGATTCAATAAAGTACTATGTTTTTAGCTAAATTCGATAAAAATGTATTTATGCAATACTCCCAATAATGATGACTGCTTGCACGATGCCGCCGCAAGTTAATAGTGCCAGCCATTACTTTTTATGAACACATAATGTTACACTAAATAAAATCGTTAAAAATTTAAATGCGACGCATATCATGTTGATTTTTTTTACGATTTCAATTATATGCTATAAATCTTTGTTTTTAATTTAACATATGTCATTTGAATATTATTTATTTAAACCTAACTCTTAATTATCAGTAGTTACATCTAGTCCATGTAATTGCAAAACAAGTTTGAAGAATATCCAGAGGCAATTGAAGAGGTGGAGCATAAACTCGTGGCAAAATAACACATCAATGATGTTGTGATTGATATCGGCATTAGTATCAACAAAGATATCGTAATCAATATCATGGATCGAATAGAATCATTTGCGAAGAATTGTGTGTAAAAACTAGTGTATCACATTTACTCTTATATGAGGGTGGTCGTGTATTAGCGGCGTGTAGGGGTCGGTGTACACAAAGTGCCCAATTTGTCGGCCGTTGGGAATGTTTGTTAAACAAGTATTGTTGGGTCGACTAGCACGCAGCCCGGGCCCGCCTCTACTTTCTCATATTTATTGTTGTAAGTGCAGCGTGCGGGTTGCGGTAGGCTCTGTTTGTGGCGCACGATGTGCCGCATCTGCTTATTGTAATCGAATGATCTTTGGCTTGACATAATAAACATATCTATGCGCGTCTTTCAATAACGTCTCCTTTTATAACGACAGTACAATGAGCTACAGATAGTGTTTATTGTATGATGCACGTTTACAATTTATAAATGAATGCATGTGTGCTATTTTTAGAGGTTCTTTCATGAATATGTTATGAGAGGAACATATGAATGGATCGGTTATATTATGGTAATTGACACAATGAATACTGCCGTAACGAACTTCGAGGATGGGTCAAGCATGGAGTTTTCCGCGTTATATAAAGAAGGTACACAATGAGTAACAAATATCTTAATCCCTGTTAATTGAAGTTTGTTTGTGAACCAATACCTATTGGCATCGCTGTTCTACATTCGATATCTGTTGTCTATCACGGTTATGTAGTTATTGCAAAGCATCTTGAAATCCCTGCAATCAGGTTGATGGAAGTGATACAATGGTGCAGCTCTGTAGACTTTAGATAGCCACTTTGATCTCAGGATGGACGTTCAATATTGATGATTCGCTAAGCAAGCGGAGCATATCCAGGCCGGTGCTTTAATCTGCGTACTTTGAATTTATACGCCGAGTGTAGTAAGAGGCAGCTTAAGATCTCTCAGCGTTCTCATTCATTCACGATTCCTTTACAAACGGGTCCCTCGCGGTTAAGAAATGTGTGGAAGGAAAGCGAGTGTGCATAGTTTCTTGTGAGTTTTTGAGAAATGAATTTTAGAAAGAGTTTAAGAGTATAAAATGTTATGACGTAATATTCCCTTAAAATGTTCACTTTGCATTGTGAATCTGTTTTAGTAGTTACAATGATAAACTTAACACTTACACAATTGTGAATTGTATATACATACAATTTAAAATTAACTAAAACAGTGAATAATAAAATAATAAAAAGAACTATTGTTATTGGTTTTGAATAAAGATTGAGTTAGTTTATGGAGTATTAATTACAGAAACTTAAACCACGCCTAAATATTTAAAACTACCAAAACGATAACGCAATGAGAGCACATTCCATCATCTTGTGGAGATAACTCCTTATACTCCGTAAGAAAACGAAGTGGTTGATATTTTTTGCCGTCTTAGTTAAAACACTTTTAAAAGCTAAACAACTCGACTCCGTATTTTTTCTTCTATAATAATATACAAGCTGCTCTGTTCTGTGCGACTGCCTCGTTGGCCGAGTGGTCGTAAGTGCGACTGCCGAGCAAGGGTTCGATTCCCGGGTCGGGCAAAGTTTACTGGGTTTTTAAATATTCTCAGTAGTAGCACGGAGTCTGGAATTGTGCCCGGTATATGGCAATAGGCTCACCCCCTATTACTTGGGACTCATAACATAAATAATGAAAAGTGGGTGTTACATTGTACAGTGGTATAATGTGCACCTCTGCCTACTCCTTCGGGGGTAAAAAGCGTGATGTTATGTATGTTAATATACAAGCAAACTAATTTCTACACAAATATTGATCACGGTTCCAACATTTTACTTAAATACTACAACAGCTTACCTTGTAAAGATCGCTTTGTATTGAGCAGCAGGTTCTCAGTCCTCAGTATAGGCCCAGTGGTGCTGGCCTCGGCAGCGCGTCGCAGTGCGGTCTGCACCTGCAACTCGCGCCCCCTGCCGCAACACTGCCCGCCGCATATTTGACCTGGAAATAAAGATTTTTACTTTATGGCCTTGAAGAATTCTACATCGAATTATTAGAAATTCTTAGAACACGAAACGACGAAAATGAGGCCTAAATAATAAGGGTAAGATTTATTGAGACGGATTTGTACAAAGTCGTATAAAAACGTACCGGCAAAATAGCCCTACCTAACCGTTTTACAGAAGCTAAAGAGTAGAAGTAATATGTTACGTGTGAAACCATATAGCGTAATGATGACGCAGCGACCCCCAAATGGTTGGTTAGATCCGTTTCATACGTAATTATGTATTGAATTAACCCTCCTCGGAAATATTCGAGGAAATTATTCAAATAAACGGTTAGACGAAAAGGCAACTGGATTTATAGAGCTCAATTTCGGCTGTTGTTGAAGTACCTACCCATTACTCGTTGTTCGACCGAAAGCAATATTTCCAAAGCGTTGGGCCAGAACATGAATTTAATTATCTTTTACAACCAGTCTTATTGGTTTGTACAATTATTATTTGATATAGGTATAATTACGGCGTCGCAAATCATTTAAACATACCTTTGAGCTACAATATCAATAAAGTTTAATTTGATTACGATAAATGTATGGATTTGGGCATTAACAAAATTGATCAAAAGAGGTTTGCAAAAAAATACTTGTAGCTAAAGAAATTCGAAGCACAGAAGGCAATGGAGTAGTACTTCATTTCCAATTACTATTTAATATGAGGTCAAAGGTAAATTGTCGTGGAGTGAGGTCGTGTGACAGGTGTCGCCTGTGATGAGGGTACTCTCCAGTTAACAGCATCCGAAACACTCACTTTAATCACTCCTTCTATTAACTAACTATAAAAAACAATTAAGGAATCGTAGCTACATGAAAATGTATGTTCCTATCCCTTTATATGGGACTATTTTAAGCTGGCGTGTTTATTACTTAAATTCATTATCATTTCGTTCAAACAAAATTTTTTATTTATAGATACAATACAATGTAGAAAAGTTTTACTAAGGAACTGGACATGTATGTAGAGGTAGGTACCTTCACAAATGATTCCGTTTACGATCAATCAGTCAGTTATTCCAGAAGCCATTACCGAAGCCAGCTGCATATCTTCCCACGTAGAAATCGCAGCAATGACGGAAGTAACAACACTCAAAAAAATCAAGGCTAAACAAGTTAAAATCTTGCTTGATTGAAAAAAATATGACTGAATCATTTAAGAAAATGTCAAAAATAACAATTGACCATTTTTTGTCACAGTAAAGCTAAAATGATTGAACGTCTATCAATTCGAATCTGTTGAATTTAATAAGTTTACTTTATTCCTGTCGAGACTTATTCAGCTCTATCAAGTTACTTTATCGTTATCACTCATTACAATTAGTTAATCTCATAAAGATTTTTTATTAAATAAATAATAAACCTATTTATTTCAATAACTATAAAATAATTTGTTACAATAAATTTCATAGTTCATTTGATCACTGCAACTTTATAAGAACGAACGCGTGCTTTTTTAATTGAAAGGTTACTTATTTGTTTGAAATGTCTACCTGCAACTAACTTCGTAAACGACCGACGTCTGGCGCGCGGCGCGCATCGTTCAAGTCCCAACATGATTGAATGCATTTTCGATTCGCGCGCACGTTACACTTATTTACGCAAATTGCTTTAAAAATTAATTGTATCTATGGTTTTAAAATTGGTGCACTATAGTGTTAATGAGAGTGGAACTCTAAATGGAAGATTCTGAGGTGATGGATTTACTGAGAGCCTGGGGGCTCCCGGAGCTGGGGCCACTTTTCGCAAGTAAGTACCTACATACCTACTTGTTTATTTTTTGTGCCTAGTTCTTTCACACATGAATTGGCTAATTTTCATTTTATTTCTCTATGCTAATATTACAGAAAATGAAATTAATATAGAATCCCTGTCTGCACTGACAACGGACGATATAAAAGAAATAATTCCGCAATTGGGGCCCAGAGCCCTATTCCTTCGTTGTTGGAAAGCTTGGGTAACGGATTTCTCAAATGTTAATCAAGGTTCAACAAGTAATCAGTGTACAAGTCTGGACTTAAGCAATCAATTAACAGATTTGACGAATATTTCTTTTTCTGTAAGTACCTACAGTGTACCTTTAACTACAGTGACCGAATGCCCGGCCCGAGAGCGCCGCAAACCCTCCATGAGCCCATGTTAAAAACAGATTATTCATTTGTTGTTCTTTCGTTCGTTTTAATGTGGTTCCCATCATAAATATTACTAAAACCGGCCAATGAATAGTTCAGTTGACGAATGATTCAGCCAGATCGTGTGCCAGTGAAAATTAATGTAAAAATCGACATCCAAAGCGCGAATAGGCTTATGTATAACGTATGGGCAGTATGGCTGACAATTCATGCGTTGTTTAATAGGGTTCCGCGAATATTCACCGTACACTTGGTCAATTTTAATATACTTATTTCAGGACCTCCCTGTTATAATTGAAGATTACCTCCCAACAAGTGGAACAAGTCCCCTAAGAGTCGAAAAAACGCAGAAAACTTCACCACCAAAATTACCACCAATCAACCTTGAGGATAACGTAAGTACCTACCCACTTGACAGGGTTCATTACATTTATGATTTTGAAAACTAATAAGGGTAGATAAAGAAATTACTTATGTATTTGATATAATAAGTTTTGGATTTTTAGAAGTATGTTTGTGGTTCCGTACCCATAAGTTGCCAACAAAACCCTATTACTATGCCACTGTTGTTTGTCGGTCTGTCTATCAGCGGGCTGTACCGCTGTATCTTGTAAACCATAATAGGTAGACAGTTTTACAGAATTCTCAATTCTGTTGCCGCTGTAACAACAATACATAGTAAAAATATTTCTTGTATTAAAGGGTACCCATAATATAAACTTTTTATTTTTTGTACCAGTCTGAATCGCACTTGGCCAGTCTATTTACCTATTATTATTTTTTCCAGGTCCTTTTCAAATTATTGCAAAATAATTTTGAAAGTTCAAGCTTATTGCGGTTTATGGGAAAATCATTAGACAATGAAAATGCAAGGAATTTGCTAGCATCAACTATTACCAAAGAAATTTTAAAGGAAAATAAAAATTCACCTATTACTAGCAATGTATATAATAGTTGGATAAAAAATATAAAAGTGCTGTTTCCGGAGGAAAGAATTACAACTTATTATATTCCACCATGTGTGACCGCGCAGGGAGTAACTCATCAAGCAAGAGGCAAGTTGGTCAGCCAATTGATGAACACAAGGCGTAAATACCAAAAGTTAGGTGTTCTTGATTCCAAAGAAAGAAAACTTCAAGTCCGCAGCATAGGGTCTCACCAATCGTCTTTATCACCCCGCCCGCTTCCATCACTGACAATTAATACAATACAGAATACCGACAACACAGAAGAAGATCTTAAATGGTTGAAAAGCAGCTCGGAGCCCTGGGATCTTGTACAGTCAAAGTGGAAAGCTACACTGTCAGAGCGTTTCAGGGACTTAAGGAAGCCGGTATATTCCATTGAGCAATATTTTGATGAGTACCCTGCATTGCAGAAGCCTCAGGGGTATAAATTGGTAAGTGCCTACATTACATAGAATGTTAAAATAATTTTTTTTTGTTTATATGATGTGACCTCATGCGGTAACATCATAAAAAAAATTACAATCTAGCTTTAATGCTAATAAGTAATTCTATTTTGTCTTAATTTGCTAGGAAAGTATAATTAGTTAAAATAAATGCAAATTAATTTTATTTGTTATGAAGATGAAGAATTTGATACTAATTATTATGTAGATAAAGATTGTCGATGATTAACTGAAAATATGATGTGATTATACAAAATGAAACTTACATATTTTGTGAACCCACTTATATTGTTTTATCCTTGTTTCAGCTTGTTGATGACTTTAATGAATGTTACCCCGATTATGTCAACAATTTCTACTTAAATTTTCCTAGCATCAAAAGTAAACTGATAGAGCTGGTATCGAGGAAGGCAACAAAAAATGATATTTACTTAAATGACCTTATTAATTTAGCAAAAGGTAGGTGTTACAAATAATTTGTGTTAAAAAAAATACAAATTGATTATAATTTGACAACATGTGATTGTAATTATATTGAGTACACAAAAACAGTCAGTAATAATACACATTTTTCTTTACATATTAATGCTACATCCATGTCAGTGAATTTTTTTTCTTAATAAAGATGTTTATGATTTCAGATACGAACGAAGAACACAGGAATCTCGCGGCTATATTAAGTTTGCCCGAACTCATTAGCCCCAGTGTGGTAGCACTACCCAGTCAGTCTACATCCTCAAGCTCTAGTAGTGACCCTCCATCAGCTAAAAGGAAGAAGGGGAAAGATAAGAGATGGAAGCCGACGAAAGCCGAAAGCCGGGAAGCGTTCGTCACTCACGTGCATGATGACAGTTATACAAAACTAGTTATAAATAAGAGACACCAGAATATCACAGAAAAAGGCTTTACTCCTCAGCCATACATTGCAATGGTAGGTGCTAATTTATTCACCATTAAATCTTATTTTATTGTGGTGAATCCAAATATATTTTATGACTGTCCTAATATCTTAGCCGCGATCGATTCGTGTTTTAAGATAACATGGGCTCTAAATCTTGAATATGCCCCGTCCACCTATGGCTCTTGGCTTTTCTTACAAAAAGGTTTATACAAACTTGATAGTCCATTTGATAGAGGTTCCACTTCAGTGGAGTCTTTGATGACGGATTGTAATTTAACCAACTGAACAAAATGACACTATGTTAAGATCTACTTAGATTTTTACAAAAAATATTAGAAGTCGAATAAGGTATAACATACATACATAAACTATGGTTGTTTGCTTTCTATGTAAAAATAATTATGATTCTTTTGGAGCATTTAAAGCTCATCTTACTTTATTTCACGATGCTTCTGAGTATAGAACTTTGGTATGTAGTGAAGAAAATTGTAACAGAAATTTTCAATTGTTTAATTCATTTAGGCGACACTTATTAACTCATACTAATAAAGCACATATCTCTTCAAGTCCCGCGGATAAAGATGCTGAAAGCCACACTAGGGATAGTGAGCAGGTAACTGCAACTTTTAATGAAAATCTTGTTAGCGATGTGGAACCCACATTAGAGCTAAGACCAGAGGTTAGTCCAGTTAACACCCTTCAATCAGTATTTGAGACATCTGTATCTACTTTGATTGCTAGCTTATATGCAAACCATAATCTGCCCAGAAATGTAGTCGACATATTTTTTGAAGGATTGCGTGACTGCGTGTCAGACTCCCTACTTATAGCGATAACTAATACATTAGAAAATTTGGCGCGTAATGGTGAAATACCATCTTCTTGCGTTGAGACTGTCATTAAAAGTATTACGCCATTACTAAAGTCACCCTGGGAAAAGTTTGGTAGTGAGTATAAGCGGTTGCAACATTTTGAAAAAACAAATACTTTCATAAGACCACGACAAGTAGTGATTGGTCAAAGACTAGAGACTGTAAAAGAAAACAATGTAAGTCGTCTTATTCCGATAACATGTGAACAAAGTTTTATTAGCCTCAGAACCGTCTTAAAAAATTTTTTTTCTCTTAAAGGAATTCTCGTAGAAACATTAAACTTCATTAAAAGTTTGCAAAATAATAGTCTTAAATCGAATAGTGCCATCGAGAATTTCATACAAGGCTCTTATTGGCAAAGTGTAATGCAACGGCACAAAAATAAAATTGTAATGCCTCTTTTCCTTTACTTTGACGATTATGAAACGGGTAACGTTTTAGGCAGCAGAGCGGGACAGCACAAATTAGGCGCGGTGTATATTTCGCTTCCTTGTTTACCAGCATATCGGTCATCATCATTAAAAAATATTTTTCTATTTCTCTTGTTTCATTCGGCAGATAGAGTTACGTTCGGGAACAAAGTCATATTTCGGTGTGTTATTGACGAACTAAACTATCTAGCAGATGCTGGAATCGAATTCGCTGTTCCCGGCTTCACCGGTACCGTTTATTTTGAGCTTGGATTAATATTAGGTGACAACTTAGGTATTCACTCTATATGTGGATTTATTGAAAGTTTTTCGGCAAACTTTCCCTGTAGAATATGCAAAACACGGAAAGATGTCATGAAAAATCAATGCGTAGAAGATACCTCACTTTTGCGGAACGATATTAACTACCAGTCTGATCTTTTAGTTGGTAACCCTTCTGAGACGGGTATTAAAGAGAAGTGCATTTGGTTGGAATTAAACAATTTTAGTCTCTTCGACCAAATAGCCGTTGACTGGATGCACGACGTTTTGGAAGGAGTCGCAAAGTATATAATGTGCCTTGTTATCAAAAAACTTACTCGAGAATATGACACTTTCTCAGTAGATTTGCTAAATCAAAGACTTGAATCGTTTTCCTATGGTCCTGACAATCGTAACAAACCATGTTCACTGTCATCTGAACACATCAATAACGGCAACATAAAATTGTCTTCGTCTGAAATGCTAACGTTTATACGATATTTATCGCTATTAGTTGGGGAATTCGTACCTGAGGGAAATGAATTTTGGAAATTGTATATACAACTCAGAATCATTATCGATATAATGTCATCTACTGCATTTGCCAAAGGTACTGAAGAACTTTTACAAACTCATATAACTAATTTAAATACTTTATACCTTTCGCTGAGTAATGATACTTTAAAGCCTAAGTTCCATCATTTATTACATTACCACACAGGTCTTAAAAAATTTGGACCTTTGATTCATTTTTGGTCAATGCGCTTTGAGGCTAAACATAGATTATCCAAAATTGCAGCAAGAGCTTCGATGAATAGACGCAATATTACATTATCATTAGCCATTAAAGAACAACTTAAATTAAACGAAATATTTTTGAGTGGTCAATTAGATGATGTCATCAAAACTGGTCCTGAATCAGAATGTAATTATTTGGAATTGCAGTTTGTAGTTTCAAACTTACAATTATCTTCACTACAAAAATTGACAAAGACTTCATGGGCTACAGTAGCATCTACATATTATTCAAAAGATTCAATACTAGTTTATAGTACAAGCCCTGAAGATCTGGTCACGTTTTTCAAATTGACAGATATTTTTATTTTAAATTCAAAATTTGATGTAATTTTGAAAGGCTACTTAATGAAAACCTTATGTTTCAATGAACATTTCTATGCATATGAGGTTTTTGAACCGGAAGAAATCCGATTCGCAGTTAAACTGCAAAGTCAATTAGAGTCTCCCATTCCATGTCATATCAGCATTGTATGCAATAAGAAATATGTTACTTTACGTAGTCCAATCTAATTTGTTAAAATAGTGATTATTTTATTACTAATATGGAAAAATTGCTGAAATGTTTGTCTATGTTCTTAAATGAGTGTAACAGTTGGTTACTCAAATAAGTAAGTACATAATGTACAAGGTGTTCATAAATTAACCCAAAACCTCTTAGGTGGTAACCCGGACCATGAAACTGAACAACTTTCATTATGGGAGCAACTCTGAAATCGTAAAAAAATATCAGCTGTTCCCTATAAAAGTGCAATACCTACTGACCCGAAATGTATGAAATAGCTGATTTTTTTTCACGATTCCAGAGTTGGTTCCATAATGAAAGTTGTTCAGTTTCATGGTCCGGGTTACCACCTAAGAGGGTTTGGGTTAAGTTATTAACACCTTGTATATAGAATGTTTATTTTATATAATTTTAGTAGGGAAGAAATTTAAACAGTCGGGTAAAAAAGACAGACTTAATGTGTTGATTATTAATATTATGTTACGCACGATTCATCCATATTTACGGAGATGTGTCTATCTACCCTCGAAACTAAAGAACCTGTCTTTTTTTTAGAAATACAATAGAAAAAGCCCTTTTGCCTTATATTTTTTAACGTTGAAATTGCTAGAAGAATAACATGCAAGAAATTATGTTTATCGCTTAAAATTTTAAGTTATTTTTTTTTAATATGTATATCAGAAAGATTTCAAAGAGACTGTTAGTAAGTAATAATAATAATATTGTTTATTTTAAATGTTTGTCTACGTTCTTAAATGAGTGGAACACTTGGTTACTCAAATAAGTACATAATATACAAGGTGTTAATGAATTAACCCAAACCCTCTTAGGTGGTAACCCAGACCATGAAACTGAACAACTTTCATTATGGGACCAACTCTGAAATCGCGAAAAAAATCAGCTGTTCCATATAAAAGTGCTTTACCTACTGACCCGAAATATATGAAAGAGCTGATTTTTTCACGATTCCAGAGTTGGTCCCATAATGAAAGTTGTTCAGTTTCATGGACCGGGTTACCACCTAAGAGGGTTTGGGTTAATTTATTAACAACTTGTATATAGAGTGTTTATTCTATATACATAATTTTAGTAGGTAAGAAATTTCCTTTTTCCTTACATTTTTTTTAATTACTGTATTTTTTTTTATTTTTTAATGTTGAAATTGCTAGAAGAGCAAGAAATTATGTTTATCGCTTACAATTTTAAGTTACTTTTTTTATTATATACTTATCAGAAAGATTTCAAAGAGACTGTTAGTAAGTAATAATGATAATATTGTTTATTTTAGTAATCACTTTAGGGCTAGTATTACACCTTGATTTGTGCGAGTCCAAGTTGCACTAATTTCAGATTTCAGCAAAAATTCCCTGGATATAGACCCCTATTTTGATGTGCTTTTTTGATTCACTGTACTTCACTCGCATCAATCAAAATGCAAAACAGCCTTTACTGAGTCAGCAGCTTAGCTGTTCTACTCGTACTCTTAAAACAATTATTACTTAAAAGATTGGCATTTTTTAAAATAAATTCCTTTAAATAATAATTTAATGTGTTTTATTATTCACTTATATATTGTGGTGCCTGGTGATAGCCCCTGGACAGGTTTCCCAGAAATACCACATCAGAGCGACAGGATATGATCAGTCAGTGGAAAATATTTTGTTTTCCATGCAAAATCTATTTGTTTGAAAAACAAAAAAATATGCGAATAGCTTATAGTCTTACCAAAAAAGTATAGTTTCACTGACTGTTCATATTCTAACACTATGATGTAATGTTTCTGGGACACTGTGTCCTATACAGAGTTATTTGTAAAACACCGTTAACTTTTTAAGAGGTCATTGTACTCAACATTATGAAAAACTTTTACTATGGGACCACACCTGAAATCGCGAAAAAAAAATCAACTGTTTCATACATTTTGACGAGTTGAATCATGCGTGGTCCCATACTAAAAGTTTTTCATAATGTTGAGTACAATGACCTCTTAAGAGGTTAACGATGTTTTACAAATAACCCTGTATACTTACTCTAAATAAGTACAATACTTGAATATAACATTACCTTAGTTGATTCTAATAAGAGCACTTTATTACACTGAAAAAGATAACATTTATTTTTAGTATCATGGTATGATAAAAACAGAAAACTATACATACTGAACTCAATAATATATTTCTTTGATCAATACAAATATACATTTTAGATCGAATATGCATCTATATAGGTTCAATTAGGTATCGTTATAAAAACAATTTATTTTTTCGTTTGATACTAGTTTAAACTCGATCAGATCAATCACGGTACTTGTTTAGACTACAAATTTTCTTTATTTAAGTTAATATATGACAATGTTACAGTAATCACAGAATTTTATAAAGATTATCAAGTCTTAGTAACATGCACAAAGGGCAGTTGATAAAAATAATAATCAGACTTGATTAAGTCGACCATTACTTGTTTCAATGTGCTATGTCTGCTTATTCCGTTTCTCTATCAAGAAGACTTGCTTCCCGGGATCACAAAGCTTTGTGCGCTCGTATATTAACAAGTGACTTGATGGCAATAAACATTTTTTTGATGTATGTTACCAATTTTTTTTTTCAGTGAACTAAGTACTAAGTAGCAACGTATGTATCAATCAAGCGAATGCATTAACGTATTACAGTCAAGAAAATCTGCTTACAGATACTGGTTTACCATCTGTTGGATATATGAGCAAGATCTGACTATAAATAGCGGCTGTCAACATTCCTAATTTAGATAAATCAACCCAGTATCTAAATACAAGACACATTGACACAATAAATGACGCAAGATAAAGTGTTAATGAACGCATACAGACCTATAGTCTTAATAACATAACTATTGTAACTAGGTTGTCGAATGTAAATAATATTTCGACCAATGAGATACGGCAGTGCTGAGATAGTCGCGAGGTATTTCAACCGTGGTCTTTGGAAATGGTCCAACGCTACACCGGAGGGCCTAGTGCGAGTTTTTTTTACGTTAACTCGAAATGTTTAGCCCTTTGATTGGTTGGTTAACTTGGAGCAGCCAACCAGAGCGACACACGTCACAAACGTGGTGATCGCGTTAGGATAAAACAAATTCGCACTAGGCCCTTTGTGTTTGTACACGTGTAAAACCCATCATCCAGTTAGTAGTGGTATGCCAACAGATTTATATGACTATAGACATAATACTAGTAGAAATAGAACTTAATATTCGTTGAAATAAAGAGAAATTTATGTTCGGTTTAATAACAGGATGTGACTAGATAATCTGAATGTTTTATTGCGTTTTAGTTTAGCACCTGTATATGAATCACGGAGTCTGATTGGGATATTAAGTTGGAAATTGCAGGTTGTCTAATATCTTCTTCAATAAATAAAGTTAAAAGAAAACAGGACGTAGCGTATAATATTCCACGGCTATTGGTTATGAACAAAAAGAAGTGTGGGAGAGCGATGCTTCGGCACGCATTGGCCGGCTCGACCGGAGTGATACCACGGCCTCACAGAAAACCGACGTGAAGCAACGCTTGCCTTGTGTTTCGTCGTGTGAGTGAAGTTACCGGAGGCCCAATTACCCTCCCCTTCCGCAATCTCCCCAATTCCTGAATCCCCAACGATCCTCAAACTCCTAATCACCAAAATTCCGGTAATGCACTTGTAATGCCTCTGTTGTTCCAGGTGTCCATGGGCGACGCCGATTGCTTACCATCAGGTGATCCGCCATAAAAAATAGCAGAAAATAAATACAATATTTGTGCGCAGTAATGCTTATTTTCCATAGAATGTTTTTATTCTTTTAAAGGTGTCGCAAAACACCGTGTTTAAAGCTTACAAAACCTTTAACATTTCACCAAAATCGGTTCAGTAATAACGAGAAACTATAACGGACAGACAGAATTACTTTCTCATTATTTTAAATACAGTAAATATCAACCAGGATGTATGTAGACAATTTAATAAAGAGACACAATATTTGAATAAACTTCTAAGATATGAGAAGGATATTGGGTTAATAGAACACATAATTTTAATGAATGAACCCTATCTATCCAAATACCGTATATAAACTTAGTATCAAACCGAATTATACTATCTAAAATAAACAATTTTAAGTGAACCAAGACCACAAGTATAGATAAATGATATGACTCATTATGTTGTTGCCAGTATCAATTAAAATTTCATTTATTATAACTTCTTGCATAATTCAACCTACTTGCTTTGAACATTAAACAAGGGTTGCTGGTTGCAATCGAAAGGTTCAATGGTTCTTCGATTGAAGAAATTGCCTTGAAGAAAATTGTACCCTCGCTCTGATTGTTGCTGTATTTCAATCTAAGTATATTTCCACTCCAAATAAAATACGTACCCAGATTTGTAGTCTAGCACAAAATAAGCATTCAATTACCTAGTACTAAATTCAATAAAATCACGTTTCGTAGAATTCCACTTGATTGTAGGCGCTAGGCATATTTTGTATTTTAACGAATCTGAATAAAGTATATTAAAGACCTACCCACCTGAGTTTTTATGATACTTTTTATGAAACTGACAATAGCCACGTTTCAGCGCTGTAATATTTATCAAATGCTCAATTACATAAAATGAAATAGTTCTTAGAATAATCTGTGTCATTTTGCTTTGGATCCTATCCAGACAAGAAAAAGACATAAGTCTCGGTAAAAAATTAACTAGCTTCGTCAATAATAATGAATGATATATATAATAATATATACGATCATATATTAAATTACATTTGGCACAATGTCGTGTAAGAGAGCGACGCCCGACGCAGGTTCAAGGCTGCGCCGGCGCATTGTTGTGTGACAGCTAGACGAGAGCACACAAACACCATCCTGCTGAATACCAGACACAAGTTCTTTTTTAAATATAACTCTTAATAAAAAATAACTATATTCTGTTTTCAAGCCGTCCGCGTCCGCTTTGTGTTGCCGACATGTTTAAAATTAAATTCTAGGAAATAACTTATCCGCAGAATGTTATTGCTAGATACCTGTAACTAATATCGACTAGCATTAGCTGAATTTATTGCAGCCTGTATCTGTGTAAAGCCCGCTTTATTGCAAGTTTCCTACCGAGTAATGTGGTTCAATAATATCGGTGACTTACAATATAATGTGCGGTATTAGTGTACGGGCCGACCGACAGCTGTTGCGGCAAGGCCGCGCCTCCAGACTGAACGGTGCCTAGCACACTGAGCACCCACATCTATTACCTATTACATAAATTGGATAAATGAGGCTCCGCGATTAAACGGAAACACCTACACTTATTGTTATTACATTAAACGTCATGAACGATTATTGCGGACATGAAAGTCGTGGCGAACACCTCACTAACAAGATCGTAGAGAAATACTACAGTAAATAAGTCAAAGTTGATTGATGCATACAGCTTTTGCATTTCTTATTCGTATATCGTTGTTCTCAGGTTAACTAGTGTCCGTAAACTAAACATTCGCCCACTGTTGGTACAGGCAAGTTGAGTCATAAATCTAATAGCACATTTACGGCAAATAGATCGGTAATAAAGTTGTCTCGGTAAATTGCTGGCTTGGTTTAGAGTGGCTGACCAATCAATCATCTGTGAATGTATAAGTGGTAGTAAAAAGTGGGATTACTATGAATAACAACGGGTAACAAATTGATGCTACCTCGAGACGGTTATGCGATAATAAACATAAGAGTATTTAAATAAATAAAAATGTCTTCAGGCCGGCCGTCTGGAGTCGGCCATCGGTGAGTTATTTAAATTCATATGACCCACGGCGGTACGCTGAATATTTTTACACGGCTGTTTAATATTTTTTGTAAGACAGCGATGAATCGAACCACATTTTGAAGGTGTGAGACATGATCGAACACAGCGAGGACAAGTTGACAAATGCGTCGAATTGAGTAATTCCGAGAAGAAATAAAAAAAAATGTTTGCTAAATAAAAATAAATATCTGAAAACATACTATTTTTCATTCCGATTTGTTTACATTCCTCAATCTGAATGATTGATTCAGGCGACCGTTTTGTTTATTGCCCTTCGTCCGTTGGTTCGCAATCACGTAATTCTTC